CACCTAGGAACCTGTCTTGCCAACAACCACCTTTAAGGGCAATCACCAGTTGGCTCTACTCAGGAAACAGTGAGTGCTCTGAACGCATTACTGAGTGCCAGGAAGCAGATAGCTTAATAATCATGCATATTTAGATACGAGGAAGCCTGGCTCTGCCCGTCAGGACAGAAAGTGACAGATGTTTACTTCAGGCCCAGGTTAGGTTGCTTCACCAGAAGGTAGAGGCCATTGTTCCTTCGGATCAGGGTTGAGCTTGTTTTTCCCTCCTGCTGTGGACTGTCATAGAGCCAGTTATCTCTGAAAAGCACTGGGCCATCCCCACTGAGGTTAGACCCAGGGCCCACAGCCAGCCAACCCCAGGCTTATGCCCTGCAGAGCAGTGGCAATTCACCCCAGCTGGCTGGGCTTGAGTGCTAACCCAATGGTTGTGATTTTGAACCAGAGTTTGGGTATTATTATGCAACATCGAACTGATAGTGCTGTGCAACTTGCTTAAAATATGCACCCTTTCTTGCCAGATTCTTTCCAAAGAGACAAAATGGATGTGGGCCCAGATAAGGCTGTTGGTGCTGAACCTGGAGCTGGCCACTCTCAAGACCCAGCTTCTCTGGAGCTGTTTCCTAGCCTTTGACATCAGGAGTTTAGCTAGGTGATTGCTCCATCCAACTACTACTAAGACTTTCTAGTGTATTACATGTCCTGTTCTAAACTATGTTACCATTGCCTCAGACTTTAAGAGTTTGGGTTGTTTTTTTTTTTTTAACCTTTTGGTTTGATAGCAATTGATATCTCCTACAGAACCTGATCGTTATTTTTATTAATATATCAAACACTGGAATCTTTCGACTCTCTAAGTCAAGAAAATTCAACTTTAATAAGACAGACTAGCTTTTTGATTCTTGAATCTCCACACTTAAGACAAACAATTTAATAACAGATCTTCTAAGGAGAAAAGGAAATCAAACAAAAGAAAACCTTGATTAACTGCATACTTTAGAACTGGGTACATTTAAAAAATATTTTATTTATTATTTTTATGTGTATGTGTGTATTGCCTGCATGTAGGTAAGTGCACTCGTGTCGAGCAATGCCCACGGAGTGTTGGGGGACCCTGCTGCTAAAGTTGCAGTCCACCATGTCTCGATAGCTCTAAGGTGCTATACAGAGGACTCCCTTTCTCAGCAAGGGCTTCCTGCTCTTTGCCTGACCTTATCTGGAAAGTGCCTCCAAGCACAGATGCCTGGCCTTATT